CGCGAAGCACAGAGGCAGAGCAGCCAGGCAAGCAGTTCGGGCTTCGCTCCTCGGCGCTCTTCGGGCTTCGCTCCTCCTCCTCGGGTAAGCAGTTCGGGCAAGCAGTTCGGGCAAGCAGTTCGGGCTTCGCTCCTCCTCCTCCCCCATCCTCCTCCCCCATCCTCCTCCTCCTCCTCCTCCTCCTCCTCCTCCTCCTCCTCCTCCTCCTCCTCCTCCTCAGCGAGCCCTTCTGGATCGAGGAGCTATTGGATGTCAGGTCGTCGATCTCCAAGATCCTCCTCTGTGAGTAGGCAGGACATCGAGGAGCGCCGTGCCTCCTCCTCTGGCGGCACACAGGGGGCGACGGCCTTCCACAGCGAGGTGGGGCATGGGGCCTCTCCGAAGGGCCAGGGGCGAGGGGCCTGGGCTTCCTTCCCTGCGAAGCACGGCAGCATGGATCTGCTCGTCGTCTGGGAGGCGGGGCGCGGGGCGTCGCAGAAGGGCCAGGGGGCGAGGGGCCTGGGCTTCCCCGCGAAGCACGGCGGCGTGGATCTGCTCGTCGTCTGGGAGGTGGGGCGCGGGGCGTCTCAGAAGGGCCAGGGGGCGAGGGGCCTGGGCTTCCCCGCGAAGCTCGGCGGCGTGGTTTTGCTCGTCGTCTGGGGGGTGGCGCACAGAGCTTCTCAGAAGGGCCAGGGGGGGAGGTGCCTGGGCTTCCCCGCGAAGCACGGCGGCGTGGATCTGCTCGTCGTCCGAGAGGTCGGCGTGCTGCCAGGGGCTGCCCTTCAGCCTGGCCGCCCCCGCGCGCTCCCCGCGGCCTCGCTGCGTGAGAGTGCCCCCGCGCTCGGGCCCCCCCCCTCTGCGGCCGCTCTCCCTCCTCCTTCCTCCCATCTTGCATGCGGGCCAGTTCGCGACTCCGCAGCCCGGTGTTGCCCCGACGCGCGAGCGGATTGTCTCTGCCGCGCCGCGAGGAGGAGGAGGAGGAGGCGGAGGAGGAGGAGGAGGAGGAGGAGGAGGAGGAGGAGGAGGAGGAGGAACAGGAGCAGGAGGAGGAGGAGGAGGAGGAGGAAGAGGAGGAGGAGGAGGAGCGAGGAGGAGGAGGAGGAGGAGGAGGAGGAGGAGGAGGAGGAGGAGGAGGAGGAGGAGGAGGAGGAGGAGCAGGAGGAGGAGGAGGAGGAGGGAGGAGGAGGAGGAGGAGGAGAGGAGGAGCAGGAGGAGGAGGAGGAGGGAGGAGGAGGAGCAGAGGAGGAGGAGGAGGAGGAGGAGGAGGAGGAGGAGGAGGAGGAGGAGGAGGAGGAGGCAGGAGGGAGGAGGAGGAGGAGGAGGAGGAGAGCGAGGAGGAGCGAGGACGAGCGAGGTCGCCGTCATCGGTCTCGTGGCGGGGGGGGGGCGTTGGCCTTCCCAGGCGGGGCCGAGGCCCCCAGCGGCGTGGCGCGCCCTCGCCCGCGCGCCCCGCGGGTCGAGCTGCACCCGGGAGGGCCCCTCGGAGGGCGGGGGCGCTTCTGAGAGGCCCTCTTCATTTTTGGGGAGGGCCTCTCAGAAGGGGGCCTCCCCTTTTTGGGGGAGGGCCTCTCAGAAGGGGTTGGGGGAGCGCCTCTGAGAGGCCCTCCCCTTTTCTGGGGAGGGCCTCTCCGAAGGGGGCCCTCCCCCTTTTGGGGGGAGGCCGGCCCTCCCCCTCTTGGGAGGGCCTCCCCAAAAAGGGGAGGGGCACGGGGCTTCTCAGAGGGGCGGAGTGCACCATGGGGCTTCTGCAAAAGAGGTGGGGCATAGGGGCTGCCGAGGAGGGCCGGGGATGGGCACTGGGCCCTCCCCCTCTGAGATCCTGGCGTCGAGAATCTCAACGTTCTCGAGCCGGACGTTTTCGCTCTCCTGCTGGCCCCGGGACTCTCGCAGATCGAGCCGGCCCGAAAAATGTTGCAGGAAGATGGTGCCTAGGGCTCTGGGCGTGATGTTCTGCAATTTTTTCGCTAAATCGGGTCTCAGGGCTTTGCGGGAGGGCCTCTCAGAGACGGGCCTCCCCTTTTGGGGGAGGCCGGCCCTCCCCTCTCGGGAGAGCCTCCCAAAAAAAAGGGGAGGCTGGCCCTCCTCTTGGAATGGGAGCCTCCCCCAAAAGGAGAGGCCTCCGATCGGACGGGGCTAGGGCGAGGATGAATCCGTTCCAGTGCGTTCCGGAACGCTCTCAGGGCGCTCGGGAACGCTCAGAGAAGGCCGTGGCGCCCGAGACATCCTCCGGAGCCGCCAGATCTCCGAGATTCTCGATTTATCCTCGCCCGACTTTATTATCGTTCCGGCTTCGTCTTATCCAAGAGGCCCCCCCAGGGGGGGGGGCCTGCCCTCTTTTGGGGAGGCCGGCGCTCCTTCTGTCCGACCCCTCCCCAAAGAGGGCAGGGCCCCCCCCCCCCCCAAAAGAGGGCAGGGGGGGGGGGGCCTGCCCTCTTTTGGGGAGGCCGGCGCTCCTTCTGTCCGGCCCCTCTGTGGCGCGCAGCCGATGCCCAGCTTCCCTGCTTCCGTGGCCGTGCTGGCTCGAGGCCGACGGGAGGCTAGTTGTGCTGGCGTGGCCTGGTTGTTCTTGCGAGCTGCGCCTGCGTTTTCCAGGGAGGTCTGCGGAGACAGATCGTGGAGTGCGGTTGCCAACAGCATGGCGCCGAGCAGAAGGCGGGCACTTGTTTTTAAATGCTGACCGGCGCGACCACTTCCAGCAATCGTGCATATTACTGGCTCCAGCTCCCATCTTCCCGACGCCGGCATCTCCGGCAGCCGCTCGCCTCTCCGATACCAGCTCACGTCCCTCCGACCCCTGCTCCCAACTCTACGCCTCCGCGCCCAGTTTCGTCTCTCCACCAGCCCTTGGGGGTGGATGCCGGCGTGTCGGACACCCTGGATGGTCGGCCCATCCGTACCCGCTATCATCGCACTTCGCACTTCCCTCACCACTACCGCCACCATCGCCGCCACTGCCACGCCCCTGCCCCGCTCTCGCTCCCAGCACCACCACCAGCTCTACTATCCACCACGCCGCCCAGTCTGAGAGGGCCTGCCGAAGGCGTGGGGGGCGGTCTCCTCTACCGCCGACCCTCGTATCCGGACTGCGCACCCTCCGGTTCGGCCGCTCGTACGCATTTTACCGCACTTGCCAGTATGCTATGACCGCTGTACTACACAACCGGGGGGGAATTCGTTACGTTTTCCTCTTCCTGGCAAACCAGCCACCGGCCGGGTAGACGTCACCAGGTCTGACACATGCACTTGGAACACGTATGGCGACACAAGAGCGGACAGATCTTGCCCCTTCTCCAATGTCAGGACCGTCCAGAGCGTTACTATACACAGTCGCCTACTTCGAACCAATCGATGCGGCCTGCCGCACCGACCAGCTCGCCGACTACCTCGCCGACCAGTGCTCCGACTTCCGCGTGCGGGTGCAACCCGGATGCCGCCACACACGCGCCTTACAGCAACCACATCTCACCGACACCCGCACCGACCAGCTCGATGACTCTCGCACCGACCAGCTCACCGACTCGCGGCGACGACGGTGGTGCAGGTGCGGCTGCTGCCCGGAATTTTACCGGACATTTTACTGCAAGTGGGAAAGAGATTGGAATGCTTGGTTGGTCCGGCCTATCCGTTATCGTGCGGCCTTGGTTGGCCCAGCCTATCCGTTATCGTACGGCAGGTGGGAAGTGCGGTGCCAGCACCGACTCCAGCATCAGCGCCGACCCCAGCACAGCTCCCAGTACGACTGCGTCGTCTACTCCACCTGGTCGGCCCCAGGCACGCCTGGGGGGCCTGACTCGGAGTGCCATGGGCGGCCGGTGCTCTGCGCCTCCCCCCTGTTCCTCCCTCCTCTCGTCTTCCTTTCTCGCGTTTTTTTGGGGGGGCCGCCCAGCCCACGGTCGCGCGCACCCTGTCCTCCCCGCCCCTGCTTGGCAGGGCTCGGGCAGGCATCGTGGCGCACGCCCTGCCACAACAGCTCAACTGTTCACTGATCGCTGCTTTCGTTTTTCCTGTCCCTCTAGGTTGCTCGTGTGGGACCCTGTGCGTGCACCGGCTACAGGTCGATTTGCGCGCGCGCGAGCTCATTCCCCTTCTCCTGCTTCTGCTGGCTTTGTTCTCTTGTCCTCTGCTCTCTCTCTCTCTCTCTTTCTGCTGCTTGTGGCTCCATTTCTGTGTGAGGTACCACTGACGTGGGCGTCAGCGGGGGTACATACACATTGTGCTGCGGCCTCGTAGTTGTTCCCCCTCTTCTCCGGGGGCGCTGTACTGCGCTTTCTCCTCCTTCTCCTTGTTTCAAGGTTCCGTTTCCTAGTTGTTTCACGGCGTGCTCTTTATAGCTCGCACGGGGTATTTAGTGTCTCCGCGGATCTGCGGCCACTTGTTCTTTCCTCCGTTTCAGGCTGTAGCGCAGCTTCGCTGACGTGTACTACAGGCATCGAAGCTGAGGTGGTCAGATGTTTTGCGGTGGAAAAAAAAAAGACATCCTCGCACTTGGGAAGGAATGAGGAGGAGGAGGAGGAGGAGGAGGAGGAGGAGGAGGAGGAGGAGGAGGACGACGACGAGGAGGAGGAGGAGGGCGGGAGGAGGAAGGCGGGGGGAGGAGGGCGGGGGTAGGAGCAGGAGGAAGCTGGAGGGAGGTTGAAGGAGGTTGGAGGGAAGGTGGAGGGAGGAGGTCGGCGGAAGCGGAGGAGGAGCATTCGCCCGCCATGGATGGGTGGCGCTCGGCGCCATCCGCATGAGGAGGAGGAGGAGAAGGAGGAGGAGGAGGAGGAGGAGGAGGAGGAGGAGGGAGGGAGGGAGGAGGGAGGGAGGAGGGAGGGAGGAAGGGCCCTGGAGGCCGACGCTGCGAAGAGGATGCAGCATCGACGGGAATGACGGCCAGAGCCCAGGATCCTTTGCCGAGCCGGATCGATCTATGATGGCCTTGGGGGCCCGAGGCCGGGCGAGAACGCGGGTGTGGAGAAGTTGCAACGCCAGGACCTCCTGGGAGGAGGAGGGCGCCCATGACCATCCCCCCCCCACAGCAGGGCTGCCCCCAGAGCTGCACGCAGACCGAGTGGCACGTTTCCCTGATGGGCACCCTGAGCTGCGAGGACTGGACCGCGGAGTCCCCGCGGGAGCTCTGGGGCGTGGACCTGCTGACCGCGTACATCGAGGGAGGGGAAGGGGAGAAGGAAGAGGAGGAGGAGGAGGAGGAGGAGGACTGAAACGGAATGATGACAATCATGATGGTGGTCATAATGATGAGGGTGATCGTGATGACGACGACGCCGCTGCCGACGACGACGACGATGATGATGATGATGAGGATGATGATGGTAATGGTGATGGTGATGATGAGGATGAGGGTCACGATGATGCTGATGGTGAAGCTGAGGATGATAATCATACTAATGATAGTGATGATGATGATGGTGACGATGATGATGATGATGACGATGCAGATGATGATAATGATGATGGTGAGGACGATGAGGGGGTGGTGGCGATGGTGATGATGGTGGTGGTGGTTGTGGTGGTGAGGGTGATGATGATGACGGCGATGCTGATGAAGATGCCATGATGCTGATGATGATGAGGATGATGATGATGATGATGATGATGATGATGATGAGGACGACGATGACTTGGACGACGATGACGATGATGATGTTGGTGATGGTGATGGTGATGACGATGATGATGACGATGATGATGATGCTGATGATGATGATGATGATGATGATGATGATGGTGATGATGAGGAGGAGGAGGAGGAGGACGATGAGGATGATGAGGACGATGAGGACGATGAGGGGGTGGTGGTGATGGTGATGATGGTTACGATGATGATGATGATGATGATGATGATGATGATGATGATGATGATGAGGATGAGGATGAGGATGATGATGATGATGCTGTTGATGTGTCCGAGCATAGCGATCATGGTGGTCATGATGACCATGGTGACGACTGTTCCCCAATCAGAGCTTGCCTCTGTAGGGGTCCTGGCGGATTCAAGGTTTAGGTGAGGTGGGTCGCCGATTTCGGTGGCCGGGCCCGGGTGCCCGGGTGCCCGGCGGTGCCCGGGTGCCCGGGTGGCCGGTGAGGTGCGTGGCCGATTTCGGTGGCTGGGCCCGGGTGCCCGGGCCGGTGCCCGGGGTGCCCAATAGCCCAATAGCATATAGCTCAATAGCCCCATAGCCCTATAGCCCTAAAGTTTCATAGCCCCATAGCCCTATAGCCCAATAGCCCTATAGCCCGATAGCCCCATAGCCTTATAGCCCTATAGCCCTATAGCTCCACAGCCTTATAGCCCTATAGCCTTATAGCCCAATAGCCCTATAGCCCTATAGCCTCATAACCTTATAGCTTTATAGCCCTACAGCCCCATATTCCCAACAAACATCTGATTGGGTTTTTTCTCCGGTGTCATTATGGTGATGGTGTAAGTGATGGTGGTGATGATGATGGTGATCGATCGAAGAAGGAACCAACCGCATCAACATGAACTTTCGGAGTTCCTCGCGGATGTTTTGGATCCGCGTTGGACCCCCTCCTGATGCCAGGAAAATTGTTAGGGGGATACAGTTATCCATCATCTCTCCCAGGGAGGTCCTGGCGGCCGCGTGCGCGGAGCCAGCCCGCTGCTGGCCCACTTCCGTCACCAGTGTTTTCATCGGATAGGATGCTTGTTGGGCGACCCTCTCGGGACCCCCAGCAGGACCCCCATCAGGACCCCCATCAGGACCCCCGTAGGACCCTCTGAGAACCCTCTCAGGGCCGTCTGAAGACCCTGTCCAGGACCATCAGGACCCTCGCAGGACCGGTCCTTAGAGGCCCTGGCCGCCGTCGCTTGAGCGTTTCGGTGCCCTGCCCAAGGATCGGATTCCAAGGCACCCCCCCCGAGTCGTAAAGCAGCATGACGTCCTGTAACATGGCCGTTTCCGGCGGCGTCAAAGCCCCGCCGAGCCTGAGCCATCGGTGCTGCCGATCGCCGCCCACTGTCGGGGTCCTTGTCCGCGGGGCCCCTCCCAGGGCTGGACCTCAACGCTGTTTTGCTGGACTTCGGCTGTGTTTCGTTTTATGGTTTTGGGAGGGAGGTACAGGAAAACAGGCAGAGCAAACCGAAACACAAAACGAACACAAAACGAAAAACAACGTTTGGGTCCAGCCCTGACCCCTCCTGGTCTCGCCTTTTTTGTGGGCGGCCGAGATAACCAGACGGCCAGCACAATCATTCCGGTGTTATATTGCAGTAGGTGAGGGTCGTGTTGCAGTCGCTCTCCGGAGCATCTTCTTTCAGGGTGTTCCCATGCCAAGATAGCACATGTGTGTTTTCTGCCGCGGTGGACTCCCGTGTTCCACGGGGGCTCGCCTTAGCCGACCCTGGGGGATCCGCTTCAGTGCTGCCCATTGGCGGACCGACCAGGTGAAGGAGGCGGGACCCTGTTTTCGTCGCCCCTCTGGAAGTCGCCCTCTGTAGCGACTTCAAAATGGGAAGGGTAGATGGGGAGCCTTGCAGATGACATTTCCATTTCTGCTGCCTCTGAATGAATGAATGAATGAACGAACGAATGAATGAATGAATGAATGAATGAACGAATGAATAAGTGAAAGCGATGAGGATAGAACATTATCATCTGCATGACCATTTTCCTTGGCGCGTGGAGCGCGCCAAAGGCGGCGCCAGAGGCGCCGCCATGGAGGGGGGTCCAGCGCCAATCCAAGGAATCCGCGCGGACCTCCGAAAGGTCATGTCTAGGAGAACGAGAAAGAGCCACGGAGGATGAGGAGGAGGAAGAGGAGGAGGAGGAGAAGCTGAGGAGGAGGAGAAGAGGAGGAGGAAAGGATGATGATGCTGATGATGATGATGCTGATGATGATGAAGATGATGATGAGGAGGAGGAGGAGGAGGAGGAGGAGGGGGAGGAGGAAGAGGAGGGGGAGGAGGAGAGGGAGGAGGACGAGGAGGAGGACGAGGAGGAGGACGAGGACGAGGAGGCCGATGATGCCGAGAAGAGGGAGGCCTGCGCGCCGCGGGCTGGCCGTCTGTCATGGACCAGCTCATCCAGGACATCGAGAGCAAAATCACGCAGGGCGGCTGCCCAGGACCTTCCAGACCTCGCGTCGTGAAGCGTTTTCGGCTCCCTCTCCTCCGCTTCTTTTTTCCTCCCCCGCGTGTTCCCCGAAGGGTCTCCACCACGGCGAAGGGAGCACACGGTCGGAAAGCTTGGCAGAGCTCTGGCCTCAGCCTTCGGCCACGTGGGCGATTCCAAGAGGCAGCAGGGGGCGGCGGCGATTCGCCGTGGGCGCCTTCGATCGCGCAGGGCGGCTCCCCGGGACCTTTCAGACGCCCTCGTGTCGTGCAGCGTTTCGGCAGCACTCGGGGGCGTTCGTTGGATTCTCGGGGGTCTGCTGGCCTCGGAGTGCACTCCAGCCGCTGCGCCTCGCCAAGGGCGTCCCGGGGGGGGGGCCCGGACCACACCCCGAACGGCCGCTGGAGACCCGAGCTACGACCCGAAAGTCGGACCCCCCTCGTCGCGCCGTGGCACGATCTCGACGGAAGGTTTTTCCCAGATCGCTCTCTGCGAGCTGTGAGGGTCTTCAGATTTAGAAGCCAGCACCGCAGGGTGGCCCCGGAGCTCGTTCCAGTTTCCGGCAGGAAGCGTCGGAAAACCTGTGTGAACTTGCAGCGTGTCCCGGAAGGCCTGGTCGAATTGTTTCCCAGTGCGTGTGCGCGGAAGTTTTCCAGAAGTTCTCTCGGAAGCTCAGCCTAAGAGCTTCCAGATCTCCTTCGAGAGGTGTTGGAGGGCCTTTCTGGCGCTCCGCTATCCGGGTCTTGGACTCCGCAAGTGGGCCGTTTTTCTAGGCCTCCCAGATGGGGTCGTAGTAGATGGGGTCGGATGGTCGCGCCGCATCGCCGATGCGGCTCGATGTGCAGCCCGATTTGCTTCACGTCGACGTCGCCGATGCATCGCCTACATCGACGATGCATCGCCAGTGCATCCCCGATGCATCCCCGATGCATCACCGATGCATCGGCGATGCGGCGCGATCCTGCGACCCCATCCAGGAGGCCTCCATGGAAGGCTTCTCTGGCGCTCCGCTAGCCAGGAGGAGGAGGAGGAGGGGAGGAGGAGGAGGAGGAGGAGGAGGAGGAGGAGGAGGAGGAGGAGGAGGAGGAGAGGAGAAGGAGGAGGAGGAGAAGGAGGAGGGAGGAGGAGGAGGAGGAGGAGGGGGAGGAGGAGGGGGAGGAGGAGGAGGAGGAGGAGGAGGAGGAGGAGGAGGAGGAGGAGGAGGAGGAGGAGGAGGAGGAGGAGGAGGGGGAGGAGGAGGAGGAGGAGGAGGAGGAGGAGGAGGAGGAGGAGGAGGAGGAGGAGGCGGAGAAGGAGGAGGAGAAGGAGGAGGGGCAGGAGGAGAAGGAGGAGGAGGAGGAGGAGGGGGAGGAGGAGGGGGAGGAGAGGAGGGGGGAAAAAAACAGGTTTTTGTATTCGCAAGTGGGCCGTTGTCGGCCTCCGGGGGTACTTCCTTCGTAGTGGGCCTGGGGCCGTCAGGCACGACTCGGGACCCTTCGCGTCGTGACGCGATCTCGACGGAAGGTTTTGGCAGGTTCGGCCCCCAGGGGCTCTTGTTCTTTTGGCCGGGCTTGGATGACGCGCGGGTCCTGGGGAAGGGGTCCAGACCTCCAGGGGTCCATGCTGTGAAAAATCGCAGCGTCGAAGCTGATGGGCCTGTTTTCCACCACCACCACCACCACCAGAAGATGAAGGGGGGAAGGAGGTGGAGGATGAGGAGGAGGAGGAGGAGGAGGAGGACGAAGAGGAGGAGGAGGAGGAGGAGGAGGAGGAGGAGGAGGAGGAGGAGGAGGAGGAGGAGGAGGGGGAGGAGGAGGAGGAGGAGGAGGAGGAGGAGGAGGAGGAGGAATTAGGAGGAGGAGGAGGAATTAGGAGGAGGAGGAGGAGGAGGACCCCCTCCCCCTCCAACTTATGGTGGTGGTGGTGGTGGAAAACGGGCCCACCAGAAGCTCTGGCCTCGGGCGCCTGCCTCGGCGGCCTGGGCGGTCCCTGCGATCCGGGGTGTGCAGAAAGTGTTTGCGCCGGGCGCCTGCGACCGAGCTCGGGCCACGGGGCCCCCGCAGCTCGAGCCGGCTCAAGAGGACCCACGAAGAAAGAACATCAAGAGGATCCAAGAAGAAGAAGAGGAAGAAAAAGAAGAAGAGGAGTAATAATAATACTAATACTTATACTGATACGAATACGAATGCGAACACTAATACTAATATTAATACTTATACTAGTACTAATACTAATACTAATACGAATACGAATACTAATACTAATCCTAATCCAAATCCTAATACTAATACTAATACTACTAATACTACTCAGAATAATGATAAGAACAGTAATTAGAAACGTCATAAACATAGACCTGTGGCGCTCCGCGCGGATTTCTTGGATCCGCGCCGGGGGGCCCCCTGGCGGCGCCTCCGGCGCCGCCCCTGGCGCGCTCCGCGCGACAGGAGAGGGTGGCCAGCGCAGATCCGAGAAATCCGCGCAGAGCGCCGAAAGCTTCTGTTTATGGCGTTTCTCCTTCGCCTTATTTCTCTTCTTCTCCTTTTTCTTTGTTTTTTTCTTATTATTAGTATTGTTATTATCCTTCTTCTTCTTCTTCTGAGAGAGAGAGAGAGAGAGAGAGAGAGAGACACACACACACACACAAAACAAAAAATGCAGCAGAAGGATAGTGTCCAGGGCTAGGGTCGTGGTGCGCACTTTGGTCCCGCGGCGTCGGGCCTCCTGGGCGTGCGCGGCACTGGCCCTCCGAAGCTTGGCGCGGCGCCGCCCCTGCCGGCGGCCGAGCGGGCCGGCCGCCGGCCCCGCTGCCCGAGCCCCGCGCGGGCATGCGAGGAGAGCCAGAGGGTCACCGCCCACCAAAAGCCACCCCACCCCAACCCGAAGGCCCCGCTTTGCCCCTCCTCCTCCTCCTCCTCCTCCTCCTCCTCCTCCTCCTCCTCCTCCTCCTCCTCCTCCTCCTCCTCCTCTTGCAGTTCCAGCGGGGGGGTCGGGGAACGTGGGAGAAACGCAGAGGAAGCCCGCCGCACTTCCCCCCTCCACCCGAAATTCGGGCCTTCGGGTTGGGCTGGCGTGGTCTGGTAGGTAGTCACGATAGATCGTCCCAGAGCGTTCTGGCACTCTCGGGGAGCGTTCCACTTGGGCGCGAATCAATGTGGGGGCGAGCAAGGAGAGGGGAGGGGAAGAATGCGAGAAAGCCAAAATCCTCAAGAAACCTTTGTAACATCTGCGATGTTGGCCTCTTGGGGCTCTCTCGGAAAGCCTCTTGGAGCGCACTTGGGGCCTCTTTGGGCCTTGTTGGGCCGTCTTGAATACATCTTCGGGCGCCTTGGAGCACTGTTGGCCTCGGAAATGCGAATAGGGTGTAGTTTGCGAAGGTTGATGGCTTCGGGGACGCGAATATTGCGTAATTTACCAGGGTTTGTTGCTTTGGGGCCGCAGCAATTGTATAATTTACGAGGGTTTGCAGCCTTGGGGACGCGAGCATTGCGTAAATTACATTGGATTATGGCCTCGGGGGTGCGAATATCACATATTCGAACGTGTCCACACGTCCCCCCGTGAATTCAGAGAAGGCGATCCGGGTGTGGTAACCGGGTGTTTTTGGGCTCCCATAAGGGCGGTCGTTGGGAGGAGGACTCGCTATGGGTATGGGTGCGGGTTGTCGCACCCTGGGGAACGCTCCCGTTCGAGCGGGGGCCCCCATCCGACAACACGTGCCCATAGCCCTCTCCGACCCCCCTATGGGTATGGGTGTGTGTTGTTGGTTCGTCATTTCAGGGTTGTGGCCTCGGGAGCGAAAACCTGGGTTCTTTGCAAGGGTCTGTGGCGTCGGGAGCGCGAGCGTTGCGTAACTTACAGCAAGGACTGTGGCCTCGGGGGCGTGAACCTGGAGTGATTGAAAAGGGAGTGCGGTTTGGGGAAGGCGAGCGTGAGGCAATTTGCAAGGAATCGTGGCATGGGGAGCGCGAGTGTGGTGTAGCATAAAATACTAAGGATTGTTGCCTCGGGAGCGCGAACGCGTCGTAATTTGCGAGGGTGTATGGCACCGGGAGCAGGGATCTGTTGTATTTTCCCGTGTCCCAGGACACCAAGAGATCCAGATAATCTCGAACGGGGAGGGGAATCGGATGATTCTCGGACTTCTCCCCTTGCGCGGACTTCAAGCCTTAGAACTTTGCAAGTATAAAAGGGGAAAACTAGATCTAGAACTTGGAACTGGAACTGCCGCGGGGAACAGGACAGCCTAGTCGTCGCAGCCTGTTGGCCCCGAAGGGGGCCAGCGGATCACTTCCCCTTTTCTCTCTCTCTCTCTCTCTCTGTCTCTCTTCCCCCTTCGACCTCCTACTCCCTCTCCTGCTCCACTTGTTGGTGCCGCTGATAGTCCTCCTCCCCCCTTGACGCTGTTGTGTGGGAATCCGCTGTCCAGGACTGGTCGCGAACATGTCAGACTCCAGCTGGTACTGGGGGAACCTCTGCGAGGAGTCGACCTTATTAAAGATGGAGAGGAGGAGGAGGAGGAGGAGGAGGAGGAGGAGGAGGAGGAGGCGGAGGAGGAGGCGGAGGCGGAGGCGGAGGCGGAGGCGGAGGCGGAGGCGGCGGTAGAGGGGGACACGGAGCAGGGGGAAGAGTGATGGAGGGGAAAGGAGGAAGCTCGAGAAGGAGCAGGCGAAGAAGGAGGAGGAGGAGGAGGAGGAGGAAGCGGAGGAGGAGGGGGAGGAGGAGAAGGAGGAGGAGGAGGAGGGGGAGGAGGAGGAGCAGGAGGAGCAGGAGGATGAGAGGTGCAGAAGGAGAAGAAGCAAGAGTAGCAGCAGGATGAGGAGGAGGACGCTGGAGCAGAAGAAGAGGAGGAGGAGGAGGAGGAGGAGGAGGAGGAGGAGGAGGAGGAGGAGGAGGAGCAGCAGGGGGAAGCCGAGGAGGACGAGGCGAGTCTCCGGAGAGACGGCGCGAGGAGGCGAACTTGTTCAAGTTCCGGCCCATCACGGCGGTGTGCCCCGTGTCCTGTGGTTGCGCCAGCAGCGGTGGCCTGTTCTGCCCGACCACCTGCTAACCAGCCTTCCCTGCTGCGCGTCGCATCAGGTGCTCTGCACTGGAGAGAGGGAGGAGGAGGAGGAGGAGGAGGAGGAGGAGGAGGAGGAGGAGGAGGAGGAGGAGGCAGACAGAGGCGCAGGAGGAGGGGGAGGAGGAGGAAGAGCAGGAGGATGAGAAGGAGGAGGAGGAGGAGGAGAAGCAGGAGCAGGAGCAGAAGCAGCAGCAGGAGCAGGAGCAGAGGCAGAACTGGGAGCAGGAGGAGGAGGAGGAGGAGCAGGAGGAGGGGGAGGAGGAGGAAGAGCAGGAGGATGAGAAGGAGGAGGAGGAGGAGGAGGAGGAGGAGGAGGAGGAGGAGGAGAAGCAGGAGCAGGAGCAGAAGCAGCAGCAGGAGCAGGAGCAGAGGCAGAAGTGGGTGCAGGAGGAGGAGGAGGAGGAGGAGGAGGAGGAGGAGGAGGAACAGCAGGAGCAGGAGGAGCAGCCGGAGCAGGAGGAGCAGGAGGAGCAGGAGGGGCTGTAGCAGGAGCAGTAGCAGGAGCAGGAACAGGAGCAGGAGCAGGAACAGGAGCAGGAGGAAGAGGAGGATGAGGAGGAGGAGCAGGAGCAAGAGCAGGACCGCGGTTCAGGAAGGGCAGTAGGAGGATCGTGATTGAGGAAGGTCAGGAGGAGGAATCAAAGGCGGAGGTGGCTGAGAGAAGGATGGGCAGGAGAAGGAGGAACAGAAGAAGGAGGAACGGAGTGGTGGAGGAGGAAAAGGGGGAAGGATGGAGATGATGTCTCCTCCTCCTCCTCCTCCTCCTCCTCCTCATCCTCCCTTTCCTCCTCCTCCTCCTCCTCCGCATTCGAAATTTCCTCGCTGCTCCCTCCTCCGCTGATGCTGTTCCTAGGTGCTGTTCTTTCTCCTGCTGTTCCTCCGCTCCCTCCCCGGTGGGCCCCGACGGGATTCCGTACGGAGCGTGGCGGGCAGAGCCAGGCGGTCGACGCGTTCCTCGAGGCCTTCCAGGAGCTGGTGCAGGACGACGGTCCGGCCAAGCTTCGGCAGTGCTACCCCAGCTTCAGCGAGAGCCTCCTTTCTTCCTGCCAGAGATGGCGGCCATAAGCCGCAGAGTCCGGCGCCCCTGCCTTTTCGGCATCGGGCGTGCGCCAACTGCACGTCACGAATCGCGACAATCGCTTGTTTGCCAGCGCTGGTCGGTTGGTTCTGGAGCCGAGCATCGAGCCGCGCCGCACATCTGGGAGGACCAGGGAAGCTTTTCGCCGGGGCGCTCGAGGATTGCGAACAAGGCCATGATCCACGATGGGGCGCAGGGGGAGTACGGCATGGCGCTGTTCTGCGCATTCGCGGCGGCGTTCCCCTCGATGAAGCATTCTTTTTGTCCTGCAGTTCTTCACCAAGCTGGGATGACCACAATGCCTGCTCTTCGCCGTCGACACGCTATATTTTGGACACCACCTGCACCACCCAGGTGCACGGTGCGAGATCCCCCGGCCTTCCGATCACCCACGGGATACGGCAGGATTGCCCTTTTGTCCCCGCTGCTGTTCGCCATGGCTACCCACCTGCTGCTACGGCGCCTTCGTCGCGCAGTTCCTGCCGCGCGCTCTCGCGCGCAGGCTGACGACCTGGCCATGGCGCTGGATGACGGACTCGTCTGGTTGGGCACCTTGCAGACGTTTCTCGTGGACTTCGAGGCAGTGCCTGGGCTCGCGTAACATCCCGAGAGCCAGCCTGGTGCCCTTGTGCGGGCACGGCGAACAGGAGCTGCGCGCCCAGGTGGTGGCGAAGGCGCCCGAAGGGGCCGGAGTCAGGATTGAGGCTGCCGGCGAATACTTGGGCTTCCAGGCTGCGCCACGCTGTCTTGGGACAGCCCGTTGGCTAAGCGAGTTGGCCGGCTTGGCCGCAGCAGCGCTTGCCGCCAAGGCGAGAATCCCGATTTGTGAGAACAGCGCCCGCGGCGGACTCAACGTCCATGCGCGCGCGGCCGCGCTTCTCCTCGCCGTGCGCTCCAGCTGTTCGCTCGGCCACCTGGGTTGGAGGCAGCAGTGGGCGAGTCAAAGTTTCCTTTCGTAGCTGGCAGCGGCCGGGTGCGCCTTGCGCGCCAGGGCGACCAACCTCCCAGCTCACGTTTTGTCCGACCCGCGGCGGCAGAACTGACAGGGTCGGCTGGCCGCCGTTTTCTCGCACGGCACCCTGCTGTTCAGCGCAGTTGCACCTGCGACGTCGGCTGGCCACGTGGCAAATCAGCACGCCCCCTGGGCGCTGCGCCGCAGGTGCCACGCAGATTTTTCCGGCTGCTGGGGCGCCGTGCGGGGTCGGCGATCAGTGCCGCTGGGGAGCCGCCTGACCGGCACCCCTGACGCGGCGATGATCCGCACAGCTGTGGAGCAGGTCCGTCTCTCGCGGGCTGGCGATCAGTCCTGCTGGGGAGCCGACCAGCCGTCACCCCTAGAGTGGCGAGGAACCCGCGTTGGAGCAGGGCCCCCTTGTCACCCCTCAGGTGAAATGGGTGCCCAGCTGTGGACTGGCTCCCCCAGGAAACCGCCAGGGCGGCGGTCGGCTACCCTGTGGAACAGGGCCTTCTCGTCACCCCACAGCACCCGGCCTGTCTGATAGTTGCCTACCCGTTTCACCCCTCGGGTGGCGATCCGACCTGCGATGGCGCAGGTCCCTTTTTTGTGAACCCCAAGGTGGCGTCCCGGCCTGCTGCAGAGCAGATCCCCCTGCTGCCCTGATGCGGAGCGCCCCCCCGTCACCACCAGGATGGCGATCCTCCCTGCGATGGAGCAGACGCACATGTCCCAACTAGGGCTAGCAAGCCGTCCTGCCTCGTGGCCCCCAGTGAGCTGCCCTGGCCCCCCCTACAAGGCGCTGGGAGAGATCACCTCTACGAGGTCCCACGAGGAACGCGATCAGCACGTACAGCAGGAACATGTGCGACTGACAGCGGCTAACGATCTCACAGCCCCGCGGCCACAAGGTGGTACCGCAGCCGTGCGGCTGTGACGGCACCTGCGCCGCCCGGGCGGGGCTCGTGGGGGTCTCCACGGGCTTTCAGGGTCGCGGGGCTCGCGGCTACAGGGGGCCTCGCATTCCTAGCATTTTGCTGAAATATTCTTTCCTGTCCACCCATGCCACCTGGCCCTCAGTGGGCTAACTTCCGGCGTGTCTGGCCAGCAAGGTGCGTCTTCCTCCTCGTCGTCCTCGTGGCCGTCGTTGTCGTCCTTCCTCTTCTCCTCTGCATGGTATCCTTGCTGGCCAGAGGGGCTTTACAGCCGCGTCTTTTGAAGCATGCCCTCCTGTGCCGCTATCACTAAATTAGGTTTCTATTGCAAGCATCGTTGAGGCCTGTTCATCACTTCCGTTCTTTTTGGGAGCAGGCCCTACTGCCTTCATAGTGTCGACTGTCGTCCGCTGTGGAGCCCGGCTGTTGTCCGCCTTTCTTGTACACACACTTGTGTCACCCATGGAGTTGCATAGAATGGCACGTGGATCGCCTACGGCTGTATCCCTCATTACGCGTCCTCGGGGTAGGTGTGCTTTTGGTCGTGCCAGCGCCGCTTGCTTTGGAGGTGGAGCTTGGAATGCTGGGCAGGTTTCTGGCAATATTTATTTAAGTTGTTTTTTGTTTGGTGCATTTCCTCGTGAGGGCGAGGCTGAATGGTACGGCTTCATGGGTCTTTTTCATGTTCATTCCCAGGCCCCGGCCCTCCCTGCCCCCACACGCGGGGCAGGGACACGATGGGGGCGGTGCGGCACGGGAGCCCGGGCGGGCTCCGCACTTTTGTGCAGAGTTGTTCCGATTTTGGCCCTTCCGCACGCGCCTCCGGCCCATGCCGGACAAGGCGGCATGGGGAGGTTGCCCGCAGCCTGCAGCTGGCACCGGGCTACGACCACAACCTTCCGCCCCCTACAAGGTTAGGGAGCCAGCGTCTGACGCTATTATGTGGGACGGTAGGGTGCGAGAGGGGCTATCGTGAAGCACTCCCCCGCCAAACCTAATGCGTCGAACGGAGGTGGCTGTCTCGGGGTATGCATGCTGACCACCCATACCATCCACCAACACCAGGTGGCAACAACAGTCCCTGCACAGGCTCTGGGACCAGAAGGTTTGTCATGCAGCCTTCACGAGCACCTCCACAGGGTTATGCCCACCCTCAAGATCATTAGCACAACACTGCAATCCTCCTATTCCTCCTCCTCCAGCTGCGGGTGAGGAATAAACCGCGGTTCAGATGCAACCTTTTCTCGCTGACGTTTTCCCGTCTCTTGGTCATGTTCGTTGCGTTTGTTTGCCTTTTCTTTCGGGGTGTGGCTTGTCGCTAGCCCACTGTGGGATGTCGCCCCCCACAGTGGTGACAAAAGTTCCTCTCCGATAACCGCACCCGTTTTTTTCTCCATCTGACCTTCTCTGACCTCTTCTTGTGGCAGTGTTCCTCCTCCTCCTCCTCCTCCTCCTCCTCCTCCTCCTCCTCGTCCTCCTCCTCCTCCTCCTCCTCCTCCTCGGGGCTCGCTTTCTCGCACTTTGCGCACGGTAGGTCGCTCGATTCCGAGATCAGTCGGAATGCGGGGGTAGAGCGAGACCTCGACCTTCGGCCCATTACCGTTTCGCCGCCGCCGCCGCCTCCTCCTCCTCCTCCTCCTCCTTCTCTGAGGCGTCTTGGCCCCAGCGCCTGCGCCTCCGTGCCTTTCCGAGCGCACTTGCGCTCCGCGTCCTCCCTGCCGCTCGCTCCTCGATGGTGGTCGCCACCCGCTCGGCATTGACCCGTCGAGTAATCTTGCAGGGGTGCCCAACGCACATCACCTCTGGCTCGGCAGCGGCGGATGGTCGCCCGAAGGCGAAAATCGTCATCAAGCGCGGCAGGACAGCCACCTCGCCTGCGGCGCGGGCTCTGCTGCTGAGCACGCTGGACGCAACCACTGCATGTGCTGCCGCGTTGGTGTCCGTGAATCGAGGCCACAGGCGCGAGTCGACCGACACCAGTGAGATCAACGTTTGGCTCTCTGATCCTCCGAGGGATTCTGGAGCGGATGCAGATGGAGAGGATGGCCATCCTGACGGACCTGGGGGTGGT